CGAGCGACGAGTACGTCTTGACCAGGTCCACAATGCACGCGTCGGCCATGAGGACGTAGTTAAACGCGAGCCCAACCAGCCCCGCCGACAGCGCCGACCGAAACACCACCAGCCCCGTGGCCACAATCATCACGATCGCCGTGCCTTGCAGGGAGATGCACGTCTCAAACCACATGTCCACCGCCACCTTGGCGTACCACATCTGATGGTTCACGTTGACATGGTGTGCGTGGCGGTCGATGGCTTGCTGCAAGTAGGTCGTTCCAAACGCGCGCAGCAGAGAAAACCCTACCAAGACCTGTGTTAATATAATCACCCAAAAGGGTGGACTAACCGTGTTCGATCTCGTCCAAGTAGGTGAGCACGGGCGAGTTCGTGATATTTTTCAGGCGCGACAGTTCGCGCGACGGCCGCAGGTACATTTGGGACAGTCGGACATACAGGTACAGAATGGGCAGAAAGAGCAAGCCAAACCATTGAACGACCGCGAGCGATGTAAGGAGCGACCCCACGACTGCAAAGAACATGGCTGTGAGCCCGCCAAACGAGTACGGCAGCCGCGTGTCGATACTCGCCGTGTCTTGGGCGTACCGGTTGATCACGCGGCCGATGGGGTTGGCGTCGTAGAACGACATGGTCGTGCCCAGCAGCGACGTGGTCATGCTGTCAAACAGGTGCCGCGACGCCTTGAGGCCCGACGTGGCAATGGCGATGGATCGGCATAGCACCATCACGACGCTTCCAAAGCAGCATGCAGCGTACACCCCCATGTACCACGTCGTGCGTTCAGCCGCGTCCGAGCTGGCGGTCCACTGGCCCAGCCACACGTCCGACGCAATCTGGAACCCCTGCCAAAACGACTGGATCACACAAATCAGCACCACCGTCGACGTGCCGCCGCATGCAGAAATGAACGCCCCGTACACACTCGTGTCGACGTGGCCCTCGGCGCGGACCTCGTCGTTGGTGTCTTCGGAAAGTGCAAGTTCAAAGTGCTCTCTCCACTTGTTGTGGGTCGCCAGTAAGCGGGGCGACACGAACGACGCCGAAAACGTTCGCGTTCGGGTCTTGTCGTCAGTCTCGTAGTGGGTAGAACTGCTACCCACAGGCTCCGTGACGACTTGAGGTAGTTGGCCCGACGGCTTGACTTGAACAAAGTCCATCCCGCCGTCGTCTAGCTCCACGAGCCGATTCACATTGGGCGACGAGATGATGTCGCCGTTGTGGGTCACGAGGATGACCGTCCTGGTCTTGAGCAGCGTTTCCACGCACTTGGTCATGATCTGTTTTTGCACGACGGCGTCGATGGCGGCGAGGGGGGCGTCGAGGATGACAATGTCGGCGTCGGAATAGCACGCACGGGCCAAACTGATGCGCGCCTTCTGCCCGCCCGACAAGTTGCGCCCCTTCGACCCCACTTCTGTGAGATCCCCAAATGCCATGAGCCCAAAGTCCGGCAGCAGCCCACACGCCTCCACCACCCGCGTGTACTTGCGCGAGTCGAACGGCGATCCAAAGAGGATGTTGTCGCGGACGCTCATCTGCTGGATCCACGGCTCCTGAGAGCAGTACGCCGTGGACCCGTACACCCCCGTCGTGCCCTCCGTCTGGCGCATCTCGCCCAGAATCGCCATGCACAAACTCGACTTGCCACTGCCGACTTTGCCGTGCACGACCACGAGGTCGCCGCGGGATACGGTCAGCGACACATTTTTCAAAATCGGAGCCCCCCCGTCGTCGCCCCACGTGAACGTGCCATTCTCAATGGCAATCACAGTGTCTTGAGACTATGGTCGTGTAGTGTTAGCGTTTTTAGATGAAAAGAAGATGACCGATGCACTGTACCTCGGGGGCGACAGCCGGAGCTGGTCGGGTCGGTTGGTTTGCTTGGTCCAAGTACTCTTGAATGCGGTCCAGAGACACCTTAGCTTCGACAATCACTGTGATGTCGTCGGGGATTTCGCTCATGGGGTTTTGCAGGAGGCGGAACAACGCCAAGGCCGTGAACACCTTGGACGCGGTCAACGGTTGCCCCAGCACCATCGTGTACATGGCGAACGACGTCATGGACACGAACAAGGGCGATGCCCAGAGAACGAAGAAGGAGATGGCCCCGCTTAACATGAAATTCCATACGTGGTCCATTTCTATGGCAAAGTCAGACAGATCGAGAATCATGACAACACAAACCAATGTCGCGAAGGGATTGGATTTTGGCGCGACACTTTTGTTCCCACGCATGCAGCTTGACAATGAGGATGGACCCAAACGTTTCCTTGACAGCTTGCATGCGGTCATCTCTGGCGGTGGACACGCGGTCGAATGCTTTGGATTGAATGGTCGAGATGAACGTGCCCAGGCAGAGACTCAGCAGGAGCATGCCAAATCCGGCAAAGGCGGCGACCCCTAGCTCTTGGTACAGCAGGTACGAAATGACAAGGATCTGCGTGGGCATGATCCACAGGTTGTTGAACGAGACGCTGGCCCACAGTAGGTTGTCGATGTCGGTCGAGTACACGTTGGCCAAGTCGGGGACTTCCCCCGGCTGGACACTGGCCTTGGACACGAGGCGTTGGAACAAGGCGCCTTTGAGTCCCCCCACAAACCTACAAACGCATGAGATACGCCCTAGGAATGGGTGAATATGCACGTACTGAATGCCAAGGATGTCTTCCAACATGACCATATGCGACCACAAGATGGCGCGGGCCACCTTGGACACGAGAAGGACGGCCAGCCAGTAGTAAAGATGGGAGGATGCCCT